GGCAACAGCACTGTTAGTTGGATAACATGGCTCTAAACGTGGAAGATGTGCAAGTCATTTGCACTGTAACCTAGACTACTAACAGTTTCTGAAGTATTTATAAGAAACACAGACCAAAAGCAGGCATTTTAAAATTTTGCTAGAATTTAAAAATACTGAAACTTAGCTTTTAGAAGAGAGGTAGAGAGTCCCACAGAAAATACTGGCCAATTTCCTTTAGGAATTAACTTAATTCATAGCCAGAAAAACAGTACTGATAAGGTCAGCAGTTTTTTGACCCTCTCTAAGACCCTCTCTAGGGTTTTGTTATCTTTGTTTCTGTAGCCCAATGCATTCAATAAACACTACTTTTATTGAAATAACATTATGAATATGTAGTCTTTTTGGAATTCCTACAAAAAATGCATGATTTCTAGGAAAAATGTGTTTCAAAATACAAAATCTGATTTATTAAAAACTCATTACAATTAACAATAAAGCAAATATACTTTGCTACTCTTAATTTCTAGCATACTTAGTTGTAAATGACACCTCAAAATGAATGTATACCATGATAATATAATTCCAAACAAATGACCATGAAATTAAAACTTATATTTTGCTTTTAAAAATATTACTGGTCTTATTTTTTTTAAACTTTGATACAAGTAAATATTAAACTTCATAGAGGAAAGATGGATATTTGTTTATATTTTAGGAATATAATAGTCAACTATGACATTTTTACTACACAGTATAAAAATAATTATATAAATATAGCTTCCAGCTGGGTGTGGAGATGCACACTTTTGATTCTAGCTACTGGACAGGCAGGAAGATTATAAGTTTGAGCCCAACCTGAGCAACTTATGGGAGAATATGTCTCAAAATTTAAAAAAATAAAAAAAGGATGGGGATATATCTCAGTTTTCTGTGAGTTCAATCCTGGTACTCAAAAAAGAAGTCCATAGTTTTTATATAATAAATATATTTTAATTTACTAATATATAGCATACATATCTAAAACTTTAGTTACTATAGTTCCTTCTAAACTTTTTAGTTAATAATACTTGTTCTCGAGGTAATCTCAGTGGACAAATTATACAAGTTCGTATTTATTATAATTATATGAACTGAACATTATATTAAAATTACAATCATTTTAAAAACAGGTTTTCATAATTTCCTTCATATACTTCAATCTTCACTGAAGAGGATAAAAGTTTTCCAATGAAACAAAATCAAGATAATGTTTTATAAAGTTGTATCTGTATTAAAGAAGCTATACTATCTCAACAAATATATATCTTCAATTTATTTATTCTTACCTATTAAATAACTATTGTACAGTTTTGGGGGGAAGGCATTAAAGTAAGATTATAAACAGTAGAAAGAGGGTAAGGAAAAGTAGGCGGAAGACAAAACCTGGCTCAGGATTTCCAGCAGTTCCAGGAAAGGATTTGTTGATATTTTACAATAAGGCTCTTTCATGGAGTGTTCATATACGGAACACTGAATTCTAACACATTTACTGTATTTTAATACATACAATAATAGACTATAAACTATCAAAGCAAAGATAGTATAATAAACTCTTATGTACCCAAACTTGATGTTCAACTTTGTTTTCATCCGTTTAACTCTTGTAATTTACTAAAGATTTTAATTAAATACCTGTTTCCCTGAGATTAAGTTTCTGTGAAATCCAAAGTCTGAAGTAAGACTTTCATTAAACACAACACAAGGAGGTAACGTCTCTGATCTTGCTGTATCAAATCACACACACATACACCATATACACACAACCAATCTAGGAAGATTTTAAGTAAGCACTTTCTTTAGCTTGCAGTATGGAAAGGTAAAACGCATAGAAGGATATTCACCTCCTTTGAAGTGTAATTTTTCAGTTTTAAAAACAACTTTCCAGCGGATCTTACAGCTGAATAAAAACAAAAAAGTATTTTTTCATTATTTCAAGTTGTTTGCAAAGCTTTCAGACAAACCTCAATTCTGTTTTGAAAAACAAAAACAAAACAAAAAGTTTGCATTGCTCAGCTTAACAGGTGTTTATCTGGCTCTTTTTATATGTATACACACATATTTATTCAGAATGCAAATTTCTTTTCCTTTATTATTGTACAGTTGGAATTGGAATCCATACCGCAGACTATCATTTAAAGAAACATACATACCAAAACAGATCTTCCTTCTTGGTGATTTTGGTACTAACCTTATGAAGTAGTCATGTGGAGGGCAAGTCTTCCTTCCCTAGCTCAAATTCACCTTCAATGTGTTACATTTTAAATGATCTGCCTGCCTCTTTGAGTGGAAAATTATTTCCTTGATTTAAGTTCCTTTTAGGATTCCCTGAGGGTTATCTTTTAAGGTTTCTTTCTTCTTTCATGCCACAAATATTTGTAGAGTGCCTCCTTTGTTCCGGGCTATTTTTTCAGAGGACAAGAAGACACTATCCTTTAAAGTCAAACCTCTCCAAGTTTGCTATGGAGTAAACAACTGAAACAGTGTTATGGGGCCTTGCCCCAAGTAACAATCTACTGGGGGCTCCAGAAAGGGACTATTTCCCCTTGTGCAGTCAGGAAAGTCTTCCTGAAGTGAATCTGAGAATGTGGGGTAACAATTATTGGATCAAGTAGATGAAGGGGAGGTTTCCAAACAAAAACCTTGAGCAAACTCTCAATATGGTGGACAATTCTGAGGATGACAGAGAAGAATCAATTTTCTACCATGTAAAGAGGTTTATAGCAACTGTGATTACTTTTTTGCTAAGTTACTGTGTAATCAGCAGACTACAGAGTAGATGGTTTAGCACCAAATGAGAGGAACACCAAGTCTAATTGTTTTTGAAAGGTGTCAGTATTTCAGGGACTTAACCCTATTTACATTTATTTCTTGCTTATGTGGATTCTTCTGTGACTCTCGAGGCAGCTGTGTCCAGGGCAACAGTTTAGCATTCCAGGATCCTTAAGTCTTTTTTTTTTTTTTTTTTGTCTTTTTAGTTTTTTATCGGTACCAGGGATCGAACTCACGACTACCTGCTTGCAAGGCAGGCGCTTATGCCGCTGAGCTAAATCCCCAGCCCCCAGGATTCTTAAGCCTTGTGCTGCCTCCATTTTTTCTTTCTTTTTTTCTTTTTGAGACAAGGTCTCATTATGCAGTTCAGGCTGACCTTGAGCTCACTTTGTATCCCAGGCTGGTCTTGAACTTGCAACACTCCTCTTGCCTTGGCTGGGATTGCAGATGTACAGCATCACACGCAGCTCAACTTTTTTTTTTTTTTTTTCCTGTTTGGTTTAAAAGGAAATATTTTTAAGAGATAATTTACTTTTTCTTAATAATTCAAATGTACTGATTTTCAATATCTTATTTTTTTCACTTCTCCTTTTCCTCTTCTCCCTCCTGTCTTCTCAGTCCCACAGCCCCTTCCTATCTCCACAGCCTTCATCTGAAAACACATTCCCATGAGTGCAGAAGCACTGACCCTGAAGTGACTCCACCAGAAAATGAAATATTTCACTTACCAAAGTAGGTCACATGGCCATACCTAGTTTCAGTGGCACCAAAAATATAATCCTTCCTTATGCGGAGGACCAAAAGGAGTGCAGGAAAGATTGGTGGGTGTGGAAAATGCTGTCGGCAGTTATAAAATGTTATGAAAATGTATTATGTTTCAGATTAGCCTAATGGGGTCCATAATACTACCAGTATGTCATAAACTAGGGTAAAAAGTAATTAAAGCTTTAATCTTGATCTTGTGATTGAAAGTTATAGATTTTAAGTAGTTTCACTGTTACTCAATATTTGCCTGCATTGTCTGTTTAGGAACTGTAAAGGCTCATCGCTAGAGCCAAAATGATTCATGAAATTGTTTAATCTAAATTATCGCTTTCCAGAAATACTTCAGTGACTTGTTTTGACTAATATTAGAATATTTAAAATCAACTTTTTATGCCAGTATAATCCAAATAAGTCACATTTTTTAAAACCTCATATTCAAGAATGGACTGAGAGGACTACATTATGGTTTAAAAGGAATAAATACCCAATAAACACATAAATGTATGCCCAACAGACAAATGGCATAGAACCAGATACTATTTAGTATTTTAATTAATTTATAGCTCTTTGGTTGCTTTAATGGTTAGAAACTAAAGGAATACTTAATCAAGCATAGGTTCTAAATAGCACTTTAATACCTACCAATTTAAATCTAATACTTTTGCGAGCTATACTATTAGGGAGACTTTAAGACAGATTTGTTCTTTGACGTTTGAAGTAGAAGTCCTCTTCAGGAAGTATCTTCGTAGACAGTTTCTCCAACAGTTCATTGCAAACGTTTTATTCTTAAATTGTAGTTTTCAATTAATTCCTAAATTTCACATTTTCCGAAAGTCAGTTTTTGGATTCATCAAGGTGGTTTACACCTTAAAAACAACCGGCACTCAGGAGAATAGAGTCTATGAGACACGCAAATATACCTGTAAAAGATCTAAAAGGGCGGGCAGATTGGAACTGAGAGGTACAAAGGAGCCCACAGCGGTGTCTCTGTGAATCCTTTATTCCTGTAAAACTTCTAAGTGGTGAATAAAATCTATCATTCATTTTTTAATTTATGGGTTGTCATCAGACATATTAATGTCCAGCTTTCAGGTCACAGCTGGTAGCGGCTTAAAACAAAACAAAACAAAAAATGCCTAAGAACCCAGGGCAAGTCGAAACTTGCCTGTGATTAAAAGATCACTGTCACAGCTGTGCTTCCCCATGCGCGCCCCCTCAATCAGAATAGTAACCACAGAAGTTTAAAAAACAACAGTAACAAAAAACCAAGACGCTGATTAAGAAGGTCGGGCTGTGCAAGAGCCCGCCGGGCAGCAGGCCTGTTCGGCGGGTTTCCCTTTGTCCTTCTGCAGCCGGGCCAGGTGCTCGCGCTCTCCCCACCTGCGCCGCCGGGGCGCGCCAGCCTCCCCGAGCGACGCCCTAGCGGCGGGAACGGGAACGGGAACTCTCGGCTCGGGGTCCTTTCCGCTTGGCGTGGCGGCCGTACCCAGCTCCCGAAGCCCAGGGAAGCGAGTTCCGACCCGCTGCGCGCACAAGCCCGCCCCGTCCTTCCCGCCTCGCTGCCTCGCTCGCTCCGATGCCGCCGCGCGTCCTCACTTCTGGGCAGCCGGCGGCGGAGGCGCAGCGAGTCCCCGGGCTCGGAGGGGAGATGGGGCAGGGTGAGTGTGGGGGGCAGCCCGGCGCTGAGCCGTCTCCCCATTCAAGTCCCGGCTTGAGAGCCGAGCCGGGGGAGGGAGGAGTGGGAAACAGGCGAGCCACTGTCTCCTCTTGAAAGGAAAGTAGGCGCCCCGGGTGGGAAAAGCAAGATTTGCTTTCCCAGCTCTTCTCCGAGAAAACTTTTCCCAGGACGTTCAGTTGTGCGAACTCAGCCGGAGGAGCCCGGGACTGCGCGGCCCCAGCGGCGTCGGTGCCCGCGCGCGGGAGGCGCCCGGGCCACCCCGTGCTCCTGGGGGCGGGGACCGCAGCGCCGCCTCCCGCCGGCCGCTGGAACCCGGGCTCTCGCGGCGCCCGCAGGCTCCAGCCGGGTCCTGCAGGTGGGAGCGCACCGGGAGGCGGGCCCGCCCCGGGCAGGAGTGGGCCGGGCGGGCTCTCGTCGAGCGGCCAGCCCAGCTCCGGCCTGGGGAGGCGCGCGTCCCGCCCTGACCGGCAGTCCTCGCCCACCCCAGCAGTGACGCGCCGCCTCGGAGCTGGAGCCCGCGCAGCGCCCCACCGGGCGATGGAGCGCCGAGATCCCAGCGCGCGCGACGCCACCGCGGCGCCCCCGCCGCTCGCCAGCACCCTGACCGGGTAAGCCCGCTGCGCCGCGCCGTTCACCCCGGGGTCCCGGCCGCTGAGGCCTCCGCCGGTCACCTGGCTCTGGCGCTCGCTCCCTGCCCGCGGCCTGAAGCCCTTGGCGCTCGACACGCGGCCGGGGAGGCTGCTCCCCGCCGGCTTTCTCGGAGCCAGCTCTGCCTGGGTGAGGGCTGGGGAGCTTTTCCCCGCTGCAGCTGCCCGGGGTTGCGGAAGGCCAGCTGAATGCCAGGAATTGGGTGAGGAGTCCGGGAGCAAAAATGGTAACAAAGGGCCCCTTGTTGGGGCTGTGAAGCATGGGTGGACGATACCTGTAAGAGCCCTGGGAAAGGAAAGTTTCTTTGGCCACGGGGCTGAGGCCCAAGCAGGGAGCAGTGGCAAGGTGACTGTTTGGGGCTTTCTGAAAGCGGGTGGAAGGCAACCGGAAAATGTGCCAGCTGTAACCCAATGACAGTTCCGGGAGCGGGAGCAGGCGGGGTGCTGCCATGACTGGGGGTGTGTGTACCTGTGGCCAATGTCCATGCCAAAGCTGAGCGCAAAGTCACATTGCAAACTCCTCTACTCTTCTTTCCGTCCTCACGTGTTGGAGGGGAAGAGGCTGTCACATGGCAAGTTAATATTAAATGAAGCATATCTTCCTGCCACATATGTTAATAGTCATCCCGCTAAGTGATTGGATAAACAGGAATGAGAACAGGTAGTTCTGCAGGAGATGAGGAGAACCTGGGAATAACCTTGGCCTTGGTTAGGAGCTGAACTTCGTAGTTCAGGAGAAACATGGTATGCTAGTACCTGAAGTGGGAAGCCCCATTGGTGTAGCATAACTTTTCCTACAAGTGTTTCCTTCACTCAGAATATCATTTCTTTCTTAATCGGAACACAAAAATGCACCAAAGAGAAAACAGACATTCCAGAAATAGAAAGATAAAGGAAAACGGCCTTGGCATCAATGAATGAGAGTAGTATGATTTTTCTGATTTAAGAGTAAAGAAGTCAAAATTTCCCTGGAACATGACAAGTGTTTCCATAGAGCAAGTCACAGCGTGATTATTCATTAGAGACCATTGGCAGTTGTCTTGGGGAAACATAGAATAGTCTCAAAGCAACATGACTAATCTAAAAGACATTTAGTGTCATGCTTACATAGAGGAAACATGAAGAGTATGAATTCTGTAGTTTGGCTCCAAGTTGCTGTCTTCTCCTGCAAATAACCCCTTGCTGTCGCCCTCCTTTTCTTTCAGATTTTGCATGTTTTGATGCTAACATACATCCCTCCATATGTTGTAGTATTAGGATGTGTGACTAAAGAAATATATTGATAGACTGAGCATAAAAGCAGGGTCTAAATGGAGCTGGGATTTACATAACAGCTTTCAACCTAGTGAATCCAGGAACCACAAAAGAAGATAGAATTATGCTGTAAGATTTGAAAATGGATTAAGTTGACTAATGTTCCATTTAAGAAAAATACTCACTTACATAGAATACAAAGATGTTCCAAAATCAGTGATACTTTTCGGTTTAGGTGGCTTTGTGTGGAAGGAATGAAAACAGCTTTCTAATGACAAGCATGCCTATGGTCAGTACTTCAGATTTTACATTGTGATAATTTAAAGGTTAAACTGATAAGTGCTTTGCCTCAAGAGCATACACCTATAATTTCTCAAGCACGAAGAAAATGTTTTTAAAGGACATTTACCTTCTCCTTGAACCTTAACAATGTCCAGAAAAGTATTTCAACATCTCACTCCTACCCTTTTACCTTATATTATTCAGAGAAGTTATCACTACTTTTTTATGTTTACTAAACATAAAATACTGTATCATTTCTTTCCAGTTGTCTGTCTGCTTCCGCTTCTCCCTGAGCATATTCCGAGTGCCTGTGAAATATTTGTTGAGTATTGAGTATTGCTTTTCTTTCTAAAGAACCTAGAACATTAAAAAGGTTTAAACTTAGGAAAAGTTTATCCTAAATAAGAATATTTGGGAGGTAGCAGAGAGCAGTCCTAATGTGATATAATTGTTGGGTTTTGGAGATAAATCCCATGCTATAAGACTAATTATACCATGACTCATTCTAATAGCCAGTGAGGCCTACTTTAGTCCTTATCCTTGGATAGTACTGTTTAAAAGAAGCACTGTGTAATTTTCCAAGGTTTACATTGTTGTAACAGGTCACTTGAAAAAAACTTAGTGCAACTCTGTTTTACAAATGAGAATCTTGAGGACCAGAGACACTTTGCTGAATAGAGCAAAGTGGTGGCAAAAACTGGAAGACAATCTAGGACTTGGGTTGCCACATTCATTGTTTTAATAGCTTTGGACATTCTTGACTATGGTGTGTTGTAAAAATCTACTTTTTAACAACTCACATATGTTGCATCATTATCTTACTGCTGTGGCTTCGTGTGATTTGTGCCAGAGGCTTATGTATTTGAAGCTTGACTTTCTATGTAACAGTATTTGGAGGAAGAACCTGTGATTAGATTAGTAAGAGGGATTAATGCATCTGTGGTGGGGGAATGGGTTGGTTACCCTGAGAGTGGGTAGTTCTAGTGTGGACGTGGCTTTCTCTGCCACACTTGCTTCACACTTGTTCCTGCCATCACATCGGCCATCATAGTATCATGCAGCCAGAAGGGACTCACCAGGGGCCAAACTGATAGACCTGATGAATCTTTGACTTGCAGTCTCTAAAAGTGTGAGCTAAATAAACCTTTTCTTTCTAGTCCACCTACTCACAGGTATTGTGTTTTAGAATGCAGACTAAAAACACAGCGAAAAAATTTTAGTGCATTTCAGGTAAAAAGATGTGATATCTTCCTGTCTTGCATTTAAGGCATGACTAATTATTTTAAGGAAAATAATAATTTTATGGCCTCTCAGCTGCAGTTTTTTTCTTTGAAACATTCTAAAGAATTGTAACATTGCAAGGATTAGCTTGTTTAAAAACTTAAGTGTCTGTAAATTTTAACTCATACTTAGGATCATACTTGATTTCAATTATCTGGTATAGATGTCATCTATTTAGTACAAGTAGAGTGTGCAGAATTTAATGGCTGCCTTAAGGTCAGGAACATGCAGAGTCCTTGCTCTCAAGAGTCTGAGTCAGTAAGCATCCCTAGGAACTTTTTTTATTGGCCTGCAGTGTGATGCTGTGATTTCTGGAGTTTGTCTGTTAGATTAGTTCCTTTCTTAATATTATGCAAAAGCACCCATTGTGTATTTTATTTATCTGAAGCACTTGGTGTTAGAAATGAGGCCAAGAATTTAGACTTCAAAAGCTATTGAATCACAATTTTAGTTTTTCCTTGTGATTAAAGGTAGCATGCAACTCTGCATACATATACTGTTAAAGAAAATGTTAATGGACCATTGCTTTGGATTAAGCTGTTGTGCTGGCCCGGACCTACCAAACAAATATGAAATTTATACACAGTAACTGAGTTCTGTTTAGTTATAAAAGGCCCTGTAGCCAATACTTGATTAAACTGTAAACCATTAACTAGTTAACCTGCAACCAGTTTACTAGTTGATTAAACTATAGATTTTCAATGTTTCACTTGAGTTTTTCTATACATGTGGTTAAGTCGCATTGTTGGTTAGAGTTTGTAGCACCTGATCTGGTTCTGGGAAATGCCCAACTCTCCAATATTTGTTTTACTTTCCTCAAAAAAAAAAAAAAAAAGAAAAAGAAAAAAACAAAACTTAATTTAAACAGTTTTCTTTCTAGCAGTACTCATATATTCATACAGAATACATTCCATCATATACAGTCACATGTATTCAGATATATTATGTGTGTATGTCTACATATATGAAAGTTTAATTTGCATAGTGACTTAGATGAAATGATCACTTGTTGGTTTCCTACAAAGTGGAAATCCTTGGTTGGTTTCCTTGTTGTTTTGAAGACTGCAACACTATTGGAGATTCTGGTGGGAAAATTGTAATATTTTGGAGGGAAAGGTGGTGGCCAAAGGTATTCTCCAGTTTTTTTTTTGTTTTGTTTTTTTTTTTTTTTTTTGTATTGAGGATTGAATCCAGACCCTTCATACTGAGTTACATCCCAAGTTTTGTTTTGTTTTGTTTTGTTTTTTGAAATAGGATCTCATGAAGTCACCACATTGCCCAGATTAGGCTTGAAATTTTCATCCTCCTGCTTCAGCTTCCCTAAGTGTTGGTGTTACAGGCTAGTATTTCCCTTTCTACTGTGGATGTCTGATGATAGGAATCCCCCTTTATCAGCATTTTTATTTTTCGCTGTTTCAGTCAACTATGGTCAACTGTAGTCCAAAAATAACAGGTGGAACATCCCAGAAATAATTTACAAGTGCTAAACTGCCCTATAATAGTCTTAAGTAGCATGAAGAAATCTTACATCATCCTTTTTAAGGCTTATCCTGTCTAGCCCAGGATACAACCCATCCCTTTGTCCAGCGAATCCATGCTGTATATGCTACCTACAAATTAGTCACTTAGTATCTGTCTCGGTTATCAGATTAACTGACTGGTTTCACAGTGCCTGAGGTTCAGGTAACCCTTATTTTTATTGAATAATGGCCCCAAAGGCTAAGAGTAGTGAAGTTTGTTGAAAATTCAGGTATGCCAAAGAGAGGCTTTAAAGTAGTTTTTTTTTGAAGTGAGAATACAGTAAGATATTAAGAAAGCAAATTCATATAACTTTTGTTTCGGTAATCTTTTATTACTAATCTTTTACTGTATCCAATTTATAAATTAAACTTAGGTATGTTGTATAGGAAAACATAGTATATATAGGATTGAATACTATGCACCTCATCATTGACATCATTTAGAATGTATTCCAGCAGATGACAGTATTTTCTGTAATGAAGTTACTCAAATTTTATCTTTTTTTTTTTTTTTTAAGAGGCATGAGAAGCATTTATTAGAGGAAGACAGATTGCACTCAAGAGTGGAATGTGGGTACTCAAAGAAATGAGGCTCTATAAGTTTGGGAACTGGGAATCTTTTAT